CCCCCCCCCTAGAGAATGGGGGGGTGTCCCCTTCTCCCCAGCGAGGGCCAGCTTCACGGATGTGCAAGCTCGGCAGTGTCACAGAACCCTACCCTCAGAAGGGTCCCACGCATAGTTCCATACATTCCTGTCGCCATTTAGAAATTCTTAGTCTTTTAACAAGCAGTCCCGCATTTTCATTTTGCACTGGCTCCTGCAAATTATAAAACTGGCCCTGCCCTTGGTCTCCAAGACCATCGTGACCCGTTTCCTGAGTAAGGAGGCACGCAGCATCCATCCCCTGGAGATGACGTCCCTTTTCCCACTGGCTTTGAGCAGAACCCTTAACAATGGAAAATAAACAGTGCTCCCATCCGGGAAGCCCCGCCCCTTCTCTGTGATTGGTTCCATTGGCCAGGGCTCTGCCAATGTCTTCAAAGAACGTTGTCTTTGGCCCTAATTACTGCTCTCTCATTGGTCCTTAGAGACAGTATGTCTCTTCTCATGGGTCGGGGCTGAAGTCCCTGGTCTGGCAGGACAAAAGGCTGATGGCTGAGGAATGTACGAGACTGAGTTGGGCCAAGGGCTTTGCTCTGAAGCCAAAGCTAATCTGCTCTGTTCTCTCCAGGGTGATTCAGGAGGACCATTGGTGTGCAAAGGTACCCTGCAAGGTCTAGTGTCTTGGGGGACTTTCCCTTGTGGCCAACCCAATGACCCAGGAGTCTACACTCAAGTCTGCAAGTACACCAAGTGGATACAGGAGACCATGAGACAGCATCGCTAATACCTCACTGAAAATGCACAGAAATAAGGATGTTGGAGGCCTTCAAAGTCATATTTGACTTTACCTTGACTCAAAGACTTACTAGAAGATCAATAACATGCCCTATTTGTAAACCAATCAAATTAGCAAGGGCCTAAAGCCAAAACAAATAAACACAAAAATACCAGTGCTGGTGAAGATTTGGTAAAACCAACACTCTCAAACGCTGGAACTGGAAATCTGTGCAATCTTTGTGGAAGGCAGTTTGGTATCGTGAATTGACACTCTTATTCACTGCCTTTGACTCAGTAACTCTAGTCCTAGGAAGACCCTACTAAAAATAAAATCCAAACTGTGGAGCAAGGTTTGAGTTTATCACATTATTTATCATGACAAAAAAAAAAAAAAAAACACTGAACATATTTCCAAGCAGTGGATTGTTTAAATAATAGGCCAGTTTGACTCAGGATATTATGAAGAGATTAAGAATAATACTTGGACAGATTTGTTCATGTTGTGCAAGGATGTTTAGGTTATGTGACATTCACTGGCAAAAGGAAGCTGCATACATGTAAATGTATGTGATGCTAGTCACAGAAAATGAAATCTTTGTAGAATAAAATCGAAAGCACACTCAACCTGTAATCCCAGCACTTTGGGAGGCCAAGGCAAGTGAATTGCCTGAGCCCACGGGTTGGAGACCCACCCTGGCAACTTGGCGAGACCTCGTCTCTACAATAAATCAAAAATTAGACAGGTGTGGTAGCGCACGCCTATAGTTCCGGCTACTTGGAAGGTTGAGGCGGAAGGATCGCTGGAGCCCAGCAGGTAGAGTCTGCGGTGGCCAGGAGCATGCCACTGTACTCCAGTCTGGGCGACAGAGTGAGATTCCAACTCAAAAAAAAAAAAAAAAAATCGAAAACACAGGTCCCAGATTGCATATGGGGTGGTCACGTGATTTTCTGTGGATGTGCACTTTGATAACATGAAAAATAAAGGAGAAAAATCTCTGAACATCTCAAATTAGAGAGAGGAGATCTTTAGGGAAGGGAGACTAGAAATTAAAATGTGCCTGGTTTTGAGCCCTGGTCCTGTCTCCCTGGTGGGTGTATGTTTCCCTTTTCCAGGCCTGTCTTCCTCTTCTGCAAAATGGGAGAGAAGAAAGGAGAAAAAAGCCGGGCTCGGTGGCTCAGCCTGTAATCCCGCGCCTTTGGGAGGCTGAGGT